GTCCAGGAATAAATAAAACCTGCTAATGTGTTTTAAATCCATACAAAAGAATTCAAAGAGAATATGAGATTTGTCTTTCGGTTCTAACGAGAGCTGTTGGAATGTCAGGAAACTGCTTCAAAAAACCATTAAAATATTGGAATAAAGTCTGTGTGTTTAAGTGGCCCGTGTGGCGAGAGTGGGAACACAGGCAGAACACTCGGAAAGGCAGAAAGGAGGCAGCAGGCAGGCGGGCAGGAGACCCTCAGGGCGAGTTAGAGGTCATCGTGGTTCCGAAGTGGGAGGCGGGCTACAGAGCGAGTCCGATAAAGAGCCTGCTGGGTTCAGACCCACTGGCCACGGGTCCCTGTGCTTCTTGGGACCGATAGGGACATGAATTCTCGCTCTCTGCCTCCTGAGTGGGAGGCAGGGCGGGCCAGAGGAGTCCAGACAAACCTGTGTCTGCGGGACCAGGAACGCGTTGGCTTCCGGAGGGAACAGACGCCTCGGTGCAGCCACAGAGCTTTCTGCGAGAGTCACCTGCTGGCGAGTGGCGGGGAAGGGCCGGCCCGGGGCAACCTCCCGCAGTGCCCACGAAGCTCACCGGACAGAAGGCGCCCTCACTCAAAGCAGTATGCCAGTCTGCACACGTGGCTCCTGAATCGCTGCCCCCACACCCATCCTCTGGGCACCAGAGACCACAGCTGGGGACCCCCGGATAGCAGGAGTCTTGAGAGAGCCGCTGCGGTCAGCTTCGGTCAAGTACCAGCCACTTTATGAAAAGCGCCGATTAGGTTCTCTGCCTTGAGGCCCGGGGATGAGCTGATGGGCATAACCGGGGCTGGTCCGTGCAGGGTGAGGGAGCCAGCTGGCCGGACTCCCCGGCCACCGTCAGAGGCGGCCTCTGATGCTGGAGCCCCTTAAAGCGCTGAAGCCCAGGCCCTGCCCCCAGACGACCACTCTGATTCGGATGTTCTGGCGTGGGCCTGGGCGGGTGGGTGACTGTTAGCCCCTGCCAGAGTGCTCTCCCCAGAATAGGTGCCCTTCCTTGAGGCTTAGGTTGGAACTCCAGGTGCTGACCACGCACCGCCTGGGTCGAGCACTGGCCGCTCCCGCAGAGAGCCCCAGGCCTGCGCTGCCTCTCCTGCTGCGTCCAGGAGCTGGCCTGGCGCCTCAGGCAGCTACACCCTGGCACACGTTACCTGGAGCCTTCATCTGCCCCTACCTTCCCCACACACGCACACGCTGGAGAACTTCTCTCCCACCCTGCACCCCAGGCTGGGCCACAGGCGCCCCTGATCGGGAGTGTCCCGCGTGTCTGCCTCTCTTGCTTTACAAAATGATTGTTAACTGGCCTGTGTCGCCTTGGCATGGAGCCCAGCATGGACGTGCCTCACTGGACTGAGGCACAGCAGGCGTGGGGCTTGGGGGCTCTGCAGTTCATCAGCCTCGGCGTCTCCATCTGTAAAGTGGGGAGATGATGATGGCATAATAATGCCAACCTTCACCTATAGTGCAGGAAACGCCAAGGAAGCAGCAGCACCCAATGTGAAAGGAAAACCTGGAGATAGCCGTTATCACCGTCCACCTGACAAACCGCAGGGACCTGCCCCCTTCCTGGGAAAGCCCACCCCAGCCCCAGGTTCTTCTAATGGCTATTTCCACCCGCAGTTTACGGGGCTCTTATTTTCACGGCCCAGGGTTCCTGAATAGCTCCCTATGACTGATGACGTGGGGTGCTCATGCCCAAGGGCCAGGCAAAACTGGGGTCCCTGCCAGCCCTGCCCTCTACTACCCCCTCCCCCAAGGAGGCGAGGGAGAGAGCGGAGGAGCTGACCCAGGGCTGCAGGGAGCAGTAACGCTGGCCAAGGACAGTACCCAAGTAGTTTACCGCTCACCCTGAGTTCTTCACCACGCACACAATTGCAAGACCACTCGGGAAGAGAACAGTAATGGGATTTCTTTGACAAACCAGGGGAAACAGAGTCGCTGGGCCCCAAATGGCCGTTAACCTCCCCCGCACCGTGTCCAGTGGCTCCCAAGATGGCGTCCTCCCGCCACCGCGGACCACAGCGCCTCACCTGGACGGGCCGCGCTCCCAGGGTGGCGTCTTCAGCCCCCGCGGGCCTGGCGCACGTGGCGGCCACACGACCCGCCGGAATCCGGCCGCCGAGAGGGCGGAGGGCAGCAGGAGATGCGCCCGGAGCTGCCGGATGCCCCAGCCCAGCCCAGCCCTGGGCAAGCGACACTCAGAACAGCGGCTGCAGGCGGCGGAAACTCCTGACCAACAGCCACACTCACAGCCCAGCGAGGCGCCTGCTCCGGGTTCGCCTTCCCCACCGGGCTGCAGCAGCAGCAAACCTGGGGGCACTTTCAGCTTCTCGGCCACCTGCAGGGCCTCGAGCTGCTCCTCTCTGAGGTAGGCTGCCGGGAGCCTCTCCCGTCCCTCAGAGGCCTGCAACAGCCTGCGGAAGACCAGCAGGTGCGGGCAGAAATGGCTGACCCCAGAGCGCTCACGACCCAACACGCTGCCGGCCAGGAAGCTGCTTCTGCAGTCCTGAGCAGTCCCCACCCAGGACTGCATTGGCCCTACGGGCCCCATCCTCCCCGGCACCCCTCCAGGGGGCGCCACCTGGGTCGGCTTCGCCTTCAGCCAGGGCTGCCAGAGTCAGGGCTCGCGCTGGCGCCTCCATGGCAGCCGGGAAAGGCCAGGAGCCAGCCCGAGATGCTCCTACCCCAAGGCCGGGTCTAGACTGGGCAGCCAGCCTGTGACTGCTGCCTCGGAGGGACACATTCACCGGAGTCTCTGGCGAATGGAGTGCTGGGCCCCCAAACCCCAGCGTGGCAGGCTTCCCACTGCCCCAGCCACCGGAGTGGCCCAAAGCTGGTGGGCACAGCTACTGGAAAGACTCAAGCTCAACTGCGCCCCACACTTTCCTCTTTGGGGCTGGTGTTCTCCTGATAGCGCAAACTATTTAAGAGCCACATCCTCACTTGTGTGATGTCCCGATTCAGCCAAGGACATTGCTCCGCTTGAGAAAAATGTCCTGTTATTTGCTCCTTGCCATAATGAATTCCTCCCCAAATGGCGGCCATTGCCCACAGGGACACCGACCCAAGCCACATTCGGTTGGAGTCTCAGGGTGATGCCTTCCAGCCTGCCCCGTGCAGATGCAGAAACTGTGCAAGAGATGCCATGGGCCCCCCAAGCTCCACTCTCGGGCGAGGGCCACGCGGCCAGCCAGCCATCCCGGCTTGTGAGGTGGTTGGGGGTGCCCTGCAGGGTGGCGGTGTTACTGGCAGGGCTGCTGAGAATGCCAGCTGGGCCTCCACTCTGCAGCAGGAGGCTGCAGGCGCGGGAGAGGCAGACGCGAGCCAGGGGTGTTCACCGCCATTCTCCAAGTGGCTCAGTGGGGCCTGGCGCTGTGCCTGCCGGGGGTGCCAGCTGCCCTGGGCACTGCAGAGTCCCTGCTGGAGAGGGCCCAGGGCAGGCCAAGCTTGAATGGTTGTCCAGTAGCGGTCCAGAGTTTGGGGTGCTGGGCTTCCCCCCACCAAACCTGCAGCATTTTGCACACCAGCATTTCAAATGAACACCAGTTGGGGGGGGCGAGGTCTGATAATTAGGCAGAGGCTGTTGCACAGAGACCTAAACAGAGACCTAAGCAGCTGATGGAGGTAAGAAGCCCCCACCCCTGTAAAGGTCCCCACTGTGTATGTGGGGCAGGGGCACTTCGGTGTCTTCTTACCTGGGGGGTGGGGGTCAGATCTTCCCTGACGGCTGTGTGTCTCTGCAGCTGTGGCTCTCCTCCCCTCCCTGAAGTCTGTTCTTCCAGCTGCTGCCCCCTGGCAGTCACAGCCCTGCAGCCTGTGTGGCCTTCAGCAAGTTAAGGGCTGTGATAGTGCTTAAGAGAAAGAGCTAAATTGGATAAAAACTCAGACTTGTTTTCCAGAGAACCAGATGAGGCAGCCTGGGGGTGGGGAGGGACGTGAGGTTAAGGAGGGCCTGGTTTGACTGAAAACACTCGCTCTGATCTAGTGGTGGTTCATCCGAAAGATGTTTCTCAGGGGAAGCTGCCAGTCTCCTAAGAATCCCAGCCATGGCCGGAGGCTGCAGGGCCTGGGCAGACTCGGGGAGGAGACGTTCTTCTCCTGGAAAAATAAGCCGCCGCGTTCAGGGAGGTCACCGTCCCCAATCCCCACCCCCGGGGCCGGCAGCGCCTGGCGGTGCGGCGCTGCGCACCGCGGGCACCCTGTGTCCACACCTCCTCCGGGGTGGCGGCTGCCCGCCTGCGCCCTTTGGCGGGCCTGCGGGCCCCCGCCTCGGGGGCGAAGCCAGGGCAAGACCTGGAGAGGCCGCGAGGGGCTCGGCGGAGACGCGGGATGCAGCGCAGCGCTGACCGGTTCCGGGGCCACCGCGGCGGGAAGCTGGGGGTGCGTCAGGGTCAGGGGCTGAGATCCACCCGGGACAACTCGGGCGTATTTACCAGTCTCCAGCACCCCGACACCAATGAGCGAGAGAAAGGGGGGGCGGGGGACAGGGTCGGTATCGGCTTCGGGACAGCAGCCTCGAGGACCTGGGGCTTGTCTCCCAGGGCAGTTTCCACTGGGGCCAGCCGTCCAGGGGAGAAGAAGAGGGTGGGGCGCTGGCCCCCCCACGGGGACCCGGCTCTTCCTCCCAGGGCAGCTGGGGGTGAGCGGGGTGGGGAGCCGGGGCGCGCCTCGCTCGGCAGTTTCCACTGGGGCCAGCCGTCCAGGGGAGAAGAAGAGGGTGGGGCGCTGGCCCCCCCACGGGGACCCTGCTCTTCCTCCCAGGGCAGCTG